CCCAAACCCCCCTTCTCTTTGCCCTTGGTCATCTCTTACCCATTGATAAATCTTGTGTGTTTTGATCTTCATGTACAGAGAAGCGTGGAAGGTAATAAATAAGTTACTCGTGCATGTAACATATTAAGGTTTTGCATAAATTTTTACATACTAAGATCGTGAATTTATTAAGATCTTGTAAAGAGAAGCGAGGAACATATTTTGTACATAATATTGAATAAAACTAATTAGTATAATCAACAAGCTATCAACTTCTTTTTCTTTTTAACTATCAAGTTCTTCCACTTATAAGTTACTCTATTCTTCGTTCTCTTGTGGATTCTAAAGAGATATTGTGCTACTATAAGTAATGCTATTAAGTTGAAGCGTGACATACACATGATTTTCTCATACTTGCATCATGAATTTTGCCTAAGTTTTCTTTGATCATGTTTTTTACGCAAACCAAAGAATAATCTGATGTGATTGATTAACCATTTAGAAACAATTAAAAATTAACTCGTTGCTTTTAATTGTATAATTCTTCATGTTGAGACCAAATAATTTAGATAAATCTAAATTTTCAAGTGATATTAGAGATTTTAACTCATGGAAATGATATTTATACTCATTTTACAATATTATCTGTTAATGATCCAGTACGCTTATTTGTTTTGACAGAGCATTGTCTAGTATATTGTAAAAGCACTAAATATAAAAGTGGGAAAATTATTTTTCCCTGATTTCAACAAACACAAATAGAAGAAAATTTATTATAAAGTACTAGACGTACTAATTAATAGAGGGTTAAAGAAAATTACTCAACGAAAAAAAGATAGGAACATAAGTTCTACAATGAGCAAAGATCGAAGAATTTAAATGCAATCAAAGTGTGATTTAACAAGTAAAAATATAGTGCAAATATAATTATCTGGTATAGAATCGTTTGAAAATTTTCGGATTCAATTTTTTCCCTGGAGCCATGACAAAAAAAGTATCATTGAGTTGTCAGAGGTTGTTAAGCTATTTACAATCAAATTGAAAGTTTCAAATATTGCTTATTTGGCAATACAAAATTTTAACACTTGTTCCACATAGCTATGACCGTGCTTCTACCACACTTTCTAGCAACTCACACCACCAAGGCCTGATATTCCACCACTAAAAATTCCAAATACATAGCACTTTTCGTCAAGATCATACGCCTTAGCCCTCTTAAATATTACGAACAGAAACACAAATTGCTTGTAATGAAGAATATAACAAAATAATAATAAAAAAAAAGAATAGCTAAAATGATAGGATAGTTCTAGGAAATCTTTACCTCTCAAATACTGATTTTCGAGGAACAATAAACCTCTAAAGACTAAAAATACATATGCAGAAATAATTGATCCCCCTTACTTCATTCTTTATTTGAATTTAAATATGAAAATATCGCACCCAATATCTTCTAAAATCAAGAACCATTTCAAAAATAAGAAAATGTAAAATAAAAACCTGAAGATGAACAAATAAACTAAATTAAAAATATAGAAATCTACAATCTTCTTCATCCAAGAGTTTTGCAATGCACCATAGTTGCAAGAAAATAGAAAAATTATTTGACCAAAACTGATAGTAAAAGGATCTAGAGACCAAAAAAAAAAAAAAAGGAATAAAATGCAATTAGAAGTTCAATCGTTCATCCATGTATTTTACTTGATATCACTTGATCAAAAAATAATTAAATAAATCTATTCATGTATTTTCCAACGACTTCGTTTGGTATATCATAAATAAATAAATTACAAGGTTGATCATTCATCCATGCATTTTTCTTACTATCACTTGATAAAAAAAAATTAAACAAATCGTTTTCCGACACTTCGTTAGGTATATCATTTGAACTTAGATAATCTTTAATTTTCTGGATGAATATGTTTTTGTAAGTTCAATTGGCATTTGCTTACGGACCATGCATGGACTTTCTCTTTATATATGAAAAAGTCATCATTTAATAGCACTCTTTTCCCCTATAAATAACTCTAAATAATCTGAAATGAGCATAATTAGGAAGCATGGCTAGTAGCAAAGTCGGCATCCTTACTCTCCTTTTAATCTGTGGTATGTTCTAATTGCTTCTCTTTTATGGCTCTCATGAATTATGCCTACTTGTACAATTTACAGATCAAATATGATTTCTATGACGGTCAATAGACGAATGATTTATGCACTTTTTAAGAAACCTATATCGGTTGAATTTTGACACTTCTTCGATGGCCAAGTATTTAACCATTGTGAAATGATTTTTCGAAAATATAGGTAATAATGATTTTAATGGTAGTTAAGCAGTCATCCGTTACCCATTGATAAATCTAGTGTGTTTTGATCTTCATGTACACAGAAGCGTGGAAGGTAATAAATAAGTTACTCGTGCATATAATATACTAAGGTTTTGCATAAATTTTTACATACTAAGATTGTGAATTTATTAAGATCTTCCAGTAACGAGAAGCGTGGAACATATTTCGTATGCAATATTGAATAAAACTAATTAGTATAATCAACAAGCTATCAACTTCCTTTTCTTTTTAATTATCAAGTTCTTCCACTTATAAGTTTCTCTTTTTTCATTTGTTTGGGGATTCTAAAGAGATATTGCACTACTATAAGTAATGCTATTAAGTTGAAGCCTGAAATATACATGATTTTCTCATACCCGCATCTTGAATTTTGCCTAAGTTTTCTTTGCTCGTGTTTTATACCCAATACTTAGCAAGACCAAGCTAAACAATAGATTTGTTTTTCTTTCTAAAGACTGATATTGCACTACTATGACAGGGCTGTTTTTCTTGGGAAGCAATGTGCAATATGCTGAAGCCCAAAAGAAAGTTTGCCCAAAAAATTGCCTCAAATTTGGGTATATGACTTGCCCAAAATCTGGTTCAAGGAGGCTCCATCCAGGCTGCACAAACTGTTGCAAAATCAAAAAGGGTTGCAAACTTTATCGACCTAATGGAAGCCTTATTTGTACTGGAAAGTAATTTGGATATGAGATAAATCTTAAATAAACTATCATAAGTTTGTACTACAAACATACAAAATAAATAAATGAATCCGCTTCTGTGAAATGAAATACAAGATTCAAGTTTAATGATATTATTGGATGTTGTTTCTATGGAATAATCTTTCACATAATTTCTTCTCTAAATTTATTGGGTTGTATACTCTTATATTGATCTACAATAGCAAAGAGTTGTTGTAGAAACAGTATATACAATACAATAAATGCGGACACTACAAAAATTGAGTCCAAATAAGAGAGTATTGACCTATAGATCTCTTGAAGATAGAATTTGCCCCTGGCACATGGAGAAGATACGTTGTAGAAGAGAGAAAAAACAACCAAAACAGTTACTAAAAAATTATGTATGAATTATTATTATTGAAAAGTTGAGAAACACTTAGAGATTAACGAAGATTCAAAACCCAATCAACAAAACAGTAAGGTGCAGAAAATGAAAATCAACACAATGATTATTCGATCGTAGCCCCAGAGGTTCAACGACCATTTCTAACGCCCAATCCCCTGTTGAGCATCCATTATAAATAGATTAAGCTCGGTTGCACTAGAAAGCCAAAAATCAGCAATAAGAATATAAAATATGTTCTAGAAAATTACAAAGATCAAGCCACAAAGACCTATCTTTTGAAAGAACCAAGAATCATAACACTCTCCACCAAGAACTCGAAGGAGATCACTCAAATCTTCCCAAAAACCCTACTGCTTACATGAATCACTCAGAGTCTTGTACACAAACACACAAGATAGTCCAACAGTATGTAGATCTCGAGTATTAAAAGCTCCTCACTAAGATTCATCACCGGAACACTCAAAATCTCGAACCCTAATCATGAAGAATGAGGAGTTTTCACAGAGAAGAGGGCGAGAAAGAGACGAACAGCAACCTAAGAAAATCTCTCTTATGCCAGTCAAATCATCACCGTGTGAATATAAAGCTAGAAGGGTCCACAATGCCACGCGTCACAATCCGGTTAAAGGCCTTCACTAACAAAAGTGTGAAATTAGAAACACGCTTTTTTTATATTAAGCACACATTTATAAGTAAGGAGGTCAATGGTTCGAATTTCAACAATCTCCACCTTGCTTCCAAAATTCTTGGCAATAGTGCAACTCGGAGTTTTACTAGCTATTTATAATTTCATTTGCTTCATGTACCTGTATGTTCAATGAAAAGTATCAATAGATTATATATTTAAAGAGTTTTGAAACTTGTTTAAATGTATCACTTTTGTTCTCAAATCAGATGGATTATGTAACGTAGCAATTTTATCAATCTTAAGCAATCCCTTTGAAATAACATCTCTAATAAAATGGTATTTGACATCAATATGTTTAGTTCTATCATGAAATATGGGATTCTTACTCAAGTGAATTGCACTCTGATTATCAAAATATAAGGTTGGATTAGAGTCCACAAAGTCTAGTTCATTTAACAGCCCATTCAGCTAGACACCTTCTTCGATGGCATCAGTGGCTGCAATGTATTCTCCCTCAATCAAGGATAGAGTAACAATTTTTGCAACTGAGATTTTCAGCTTATTATAGTACCACATAAAGTATAAAAATAACATGCGATTGATCTCCTATTATCTCTATCTTCAGCAAAATCAAAGTCTATCTAACCCTTTAGGATTACCCCCTCCTTATTCATTCTAAACATTAAGTCTAAATTGGATGAACTCTTTAAATATTTCATTAAGCATTTTAATGCTCTCCAATGACTTTCACTAGGATTTCCCATGAATCTACTTAAGACACTAATGTTGTAAGCTAAATAAGGTCTAGTGCAAATCATCAAGTACATTACAGATCTAATAGCATTACCATAGGGAATTTTAGACATTCTTTCAAGTTCATATATTCAGTTTTAGGATATGAATCAGATGTAAGTTTAAATGATTAGTAAAGGGTAAAGAAACATGTTTACAATCAGACATGCTAAACCACTTTTCAGAATCTTGTTGACTTAAAAATAAGGAATTAGTTTCTTCATTTATAATAATATGCATACCAAGTGGGGTTAGACAAAACTCCCAAAAATTGAACCCAAATCAAACTAAGCAGTTCTTCTTAAGTTAAAAAATCTGAATAGGCATGCGAATCGAAAATCGACGGGTTTGGTTCAGTTCTAGATTCTTGATCAAGAACCATAGAATTGAATAAGAACCGAATCTCCCTAATTTTTTAATTAATTTATTTTAAATAAGCCAAATTATTTTATTTTTGAGGAAATTACTAGAAATGTCCACTTTTACATATCCATTTGCAAAAATGTCCACCATTGCAAATCCTTGCAAAATTATCCATTTTAGAACAATTTAGACCAAAATACCACTGTTAACAATTTATGATTCCATACAAGGACAAAGATGGACATTTTTGCAATTAAAAATTTTATTGACCAATAAAATTTTGACACATAATCTGTCCTATTTATTTCAAAAGTGTACATGTCAAATCATAATAAATGTTATTTTTCTTATTGAAACAGAAATGTCGAGAACTACGTTTCAAATGTAAAGAAATTTCATATTTGAAATGAAATGTCATTCTAGACATTTAATATGTCAAGAACAACATTTGAAATGTCGAAAATATTTAATGTTGTGATTTGATGTGTACTTTTGAAATATAAACAGGGTTCAAATATCAAGAACGACATTTGAAATGTCGAGAACATCATTTTAATGTAACTTCTCATGGAAGTTACTTCTTGAAATCCACGAAAAAATGGAAAAAAAAATAATTAAATTTTTTTTAATATATCCCTTTTATTTTTTCTAAATAAATTTGTTAACTAGTTAATTTTGCTCAAACCCAAAAATATGATTTTCCTATTTTTAATTTTCAGTTTAAAACTAGCTTAATCAAATTGATCTAAGTTTTATTCAAATCTGTTACTCTACCTAATGTCGTTTCTACTATTCTAGAGAAATCGAATTGAAGCTCAACAATGTCTCTCTTAATTATTGTGAACTTGCTATCTTCATATTCCTATGATTTTAACAATCAAATATATGAAGAACTCAGCAAAAAAAGACGCAAAAGAAACATATCATTACTTGAATTAATGTAGCTTTGTAAATATTAAAAAAATTAATTATAATACGGAATCTGGGAACCAAATCGAATGGAACCAAACTTGAAGGATTCCATAATTAAATTTGGACCCGACAATTTCACTTACTAAATACTCGAAAGTTTTGGGTCTGGTTAATACCAAAATTTTCTTGGCAAGACCAAGATCCTTCATGTCAAACTCTGATTTTAATTTGTGTTTGATATACTCAATTTCAAATTTATTGGCACTAGTAAGAAACAAGGCATCAACATAAAGAACCAAATATAAAAGTTTTTACCTCCATTTCCTTTACAATAAAGACATGTATTATAATTGTTTCTATTAGAATCAAGCTTCAAGACAAAAAAATCGAATCTTTTGTACCATTGTCTTGGAGCTTGTTTTAGGCTATACAAAGATTTTTTCAATAAACACATAATTTGATCAGGATCACCTTTAATAAAACTTTAAGGGCTATTTCATGTAAATCGCTTCATTCAATTCACCATAAAGGAAAGCAATTTTTATATCTAGTCGGTCAAGTTTCCACTTAAATTATACAACCAAAGCAAGAATACATCTGATAGTAGTATATTTAACTACTGGGAAAAAATCTCATCGTAATCCACACCCTCCTTTTGTGTGAAACCTTTGGCAACAAGTCTAGTTTTGTGTCTAACTTTATTATTGTCCCCTCCCCCTTCCTTTAGTTTATAATCCTTTTACAATCAACTAGTTTTTCATCCTATGGTTTATCTACTAATTTCCATGTATTATTTTTTATAAGGAAGTCATTTTTTCTTCCATAGCAGCCAACCACTTCTTAGAGTCTCGGATTTTAAGGGTTCATGTTAAGAACATGGTTTAGATTTAGTTTCTTCCTGATATGTAACAAAGACACAAAGTCATCACCATTAAACCTAGTAGGGGTCTAATTTGTCTTCTCTCCCTGTCTCTAGTGAGCTAGTATTCTTCAGGTGGTGAAACTGTGTTATCATATTGTTCGGATTCTACCAATTCAATATCTGTTTCATTCAGGCCAACTTCAGTACTTGCAGTTTCTAAGATGATAGAACTGGTATTATCTAGCTTAACAAGCTCCACCTCAATTTGGATATCATTTTCATTTAAATTCCCTTTCTTTCCTTCTAAACATCGCATACAAGACTTATTAAAGATCACATCTCTCCTAATGATAACCCTGTAACCCTTTTCCCCATAAACCCATAGCCTATACCCCTTTATATTTTCAACATAGCCCAAAAACATACACTTAAGTAATCTATGGTCAAGTTTTCCTATGTTTTAATGAGTATATGCAGCACAACAAAAAGTTTTCAGATAAGAGTAAACAACAGGCTTTTGTGTCCACACAGATTTAGGCACATCAAAATTTAAAGTACTTGTAGGACTTCTATTAACCAAATATGTAGTAGTTTTAATATCCTCATCCCAAAATAATTTAGGCAAGTCTGAACTTAAAAGCATGCATCTAACCTTATTTAATAAAGTGTTATTCATTCTTTTTGCAACGCCATTTTGTTGAGGCATATATATTATAGTTCTATGTCTTAAAATGCCATGCAATTTACAGAAATCATTAAACTTATAATTGCAAAATTTTATGCCATTGTTAGTTTTTAAGGTTTTGATTTTCAAGTCGGATTGATTTTCAATTTGGGTTTTTCAATCTTAAAATGTAGTAAATGTTTCATCTTTAGTTTTTAACAGAAAGACCCAAATTTTTCTTGAAAAATTGTCAATAATCAAAAGGTAATACTTGTAACCGGACAATGTAGGTGTGGATGCAGGATCCCGTAAATTAGCATGTAAATATTTTAAAATTTGCTTTGATTTATGAGTACTATTGGAAAAAGGCAATTTTGCATGTTTACCAATCTAACATTATTCACAATTAGAGAATTCCCCAATAATTGATTTTCCAAATACTTATTTATTTTGTAGAGCTTTTAGACCTTTCATTCCAATGTGACCAAGTCTACCATTCCATAATTTGGCAAGGTTAAAATCATCATCTAAAATTGCTGCAGATAGACTCACTGAACGTTTTGCATTTAAAAAGTATAAACCATGTTTCTCTGGGATAGAAGTGATTAAATCACTATCTCTAAAGATTTTTATTTGTCCTTGACCTAAATTTATGTCAAAATCCATATCTACGAATATCCCTAGAGACACAATGTTTCTTTCTAATTCACGAACAAATCTGGCACCCTTTAAAACTAAAATTTTGCAATTTTCTAAAATTAGTTTTAATGTTCCAATTCCTCTTACTTTACAGGTTATGTTGTTTCTCATGATAACTCGACCTCCTTTAGTTTTTTCAAAGTCCAGAAAATAATTTTTGTTAGGACACGTGGAAAGAGCAACATGAGTCAAGAATATACTCTTGATTCAGGTTTCTTTCAATATTAACAAGAACTAGGCCATTATCAAGTTGTTGTTTATCATAGGTCATAATAGCATTACCTTCACTTGAATTCTTTCCTTTAAAATCATTTTGCTTCTTATAACAGTTTTTGGCAAAGTAACCCATCCTGCAACAATAATAGCATTTCTTTCATTTTACCTTATTTTTGGATTTCATTTTATCATTATTCCTCTTTCTTGGGTCATTAGGAATTTTTCAATGAAAGTTAGATTTATAAAAACTTTTGCCTTTTATCAAAAGATTTTCTCCATTTTGATTATTAATAAAATCTGATTTGAGTTCAAGAATCCTATTTTTTAAGGCATTTATTATGATATCAGTGGTAAGCTTAACTCTACCATATTCTAGGACATTCTTGAGGTCTCTATGTCTATCACTAATGAAGTTTAACAAGAACACAACTAGCTAATCTTCTAGTAATTTCTCATCACAGTTGGCAAGATCTTATATCAACTTAGTAAATCTATCAAAATCTTCATCCAAATCAACAGAATGGTCCATCTTAAAGGATAAAACTGTTTAAACAAAAAACATTTATTAGGAACAGTTTTGGGCTCATGTTGATTTTAATTTGGTCCAAAGTTCTTTAGCAATTTTAGTTTTCCCTATTCATCTGATCACCTTTTCAGAAAGGTACAAGAAAATAGTATTCCAAACTATCTCTTCTAATTCAATTCCTTTAGAAACCGACATCTCTAAAGGCCAAGAATTATCAAGGGCTTTAGCACATTTTGGTTATATTAAAATAACCATCATCTTTTGACTCCACATATTAAGGTCCACCTCCCATCATATATATTCACTTCAAACTTAGCAGTGGCCGTCACAGAATATACTAAGTCAATGTACAATGCACAAGTTTGGATTTCAAGAATATACAGAGAGATTAACACAATTAAAAGACTACTGACTGATAAGGGGTTAGGTCCAACAGAAGTGCACTTGGATGGGTTTCCGTGAATACACAGCACAAAGTATACAAGCAAGAACATAGAGACAGAGATAACAATTCCTATATCTCAACCGATTTCTCCAGCAAGATCGTCCAGTTGCACTCCTACACTGAGTTGTATTCTCAGATTCCCAAAACTTCTTTAGAGTCTTCGTACAAAGACCAAACCCAGGAGGATTTATAGTGTAAGGTAAATCAAGGGAAAATTTTAGAAAATTCTGAAGTAAAAATTACCAACAATAGTTTATAGAAAAGATCTTACCAAATGAGTTCGAAGAACTCGGTTTTGTCCAACTCAAGTTCACACAATTTGAGGTAGGTTTCAAATCCAGTTTACTCAAAGATCAGGTATCCTTCAGAAAACCAAGTTTTGATACCACTAGAAGGTCGATAAACACTTCAAGTTTAACCAAGATTCAAAACCCAATCAACAAAGCAATAAAGTAAAGTGTAGAAAATGAAAATCAACACAAAGATTTTTTAGCCGTAGCCCCAGAGGTTCGACAACCACATCTAATGCCTAATCCCCTGTTGAGCATCCATTATAAATGGATTAAGCTCAATTGCACTGTAAAGTTGAAAATCGGCAACAAGAATATACAATTTGTTCCAGAAAATTACAAAGATCAAGCCACAAAGACTTATCTTTTTAAAGAACCAAGAATTAGACACTCTCCACCAAGAACTCAAAGGAGATCACTTAGATCTTTCCAGAAACCCTACTGCTTACACGAATCACTCAGATTCTTGTACACAAACACACAAGACAGTACAACAGTATGTAGATCTTGAGTATTACAAGTTCCTCACTAAGATTTATCACTAGACACTCAAAATCTCGAACCCTTATCACAAAGAATGAGGAGTTCTCACAAGGAAGAGGGAGAGGAAGAGATGAACAGCAACCCAAGAAAATCTCTCTTATGCCAGTCAAAGAAAGCAAAAAGGGTCTAGAACTTAATCAAATGGCTACCACAATGCCACGTGTCACAATCTGGTTAAAAGCCTCCACTAACAAAAGTGTAAAATCAGAAACATGCTTTCTTCATATTTTGAAAGCACACTTTTATAAGTAAGGAGATCAATGGTTCAAATCTCAATAATTATTATTTTTTTAAAGTTGCAAAACGATAAGAAGCTAATAACGGTAACTTAAATGGATAACAAATTATTCTAAGATGCAAAAATAGTAATTAATATCAAAAACTATTTTACTTGATATCCTAATTTGTTCGGCAAACAAAATTCTTTAATCAAATTAAGAATTTCCATTTTTCTATTCTCAATGTTGGGGAAAAAAAGTAAAATATATTTTTCTATATCTTTCAATATTTAAATAAATTACAAAAATTATTTTTGTTCACTGAAAAACTGGAGCTCAAGGAGAATGAAGATAATAAATTGCATATATCTCACACAAAAGAAGACCATATTATGAAGAGAAATTATTTAAATAATAAATAATACATTACGGCTTCTAATAAGTTAAATTTAATAATAATATGTATCATAGTTAAACAAACATGATGTAAAAATAAGTAATATATAGTGTGATCATTTTTATCAAGGATGCGTTCAGCTATTTATGTGACAAATTTGTTGACTTTTCTAATCCTTTTCAATGATAATGGTTTCTTTTGTTACAAAAAGTAGAAAGTAATATGTAAAGTAACAAGACACAATATTAAAGTGTAAATACACCACAAATGTGTGATATTTGTAATTTTATTTATTTATGTTTTCATATAGGTGGCAATATTATCATTGGAAATTTTGTTTATAACACCCTAATTTTACATAAAATTTCTATTTACTTATGGTGTATCCAACAAAAATATAATTGATTAAGATGTATATATAAAGTGGTATG